TCCAACCTAGATGATTCTGTGATTCTGTGATACCGTCTGGCTTATGCTTAATAATACTACAACTACAACAGTTTCGGAAAACAAGGGTTTGCTTTAAACAAGTTTGCTTTAGTTACTATTCACTTTCTTGTTGACTATACAGATCCTGATCAAATTGTGCTAGTGTCAGCTACGGAAAATACTGTTCACATGATGGTAGCTAGAAAGAAGCTAGAAAAAAATAATGTTTCATGAAAACTCTCTTGACATACAGTGTTTTTAAGCCTATAAGTGCTGTGTGGGACTCAGGGGCAGATAGCATATTGGGTAAAGTGTTGCTAATGTTTAAGTCCTTTGTAAGCTTGGGATGGGGCTAGCATCTTTTTCTGCTCAAAGAAAAACAAAAAAGAAACTCCGAATGAGTGATCCATACTTCTTCTTTTTGATTTTAGGTCCAAAAGGTGACCCTGGCCAGACTGTTACAGAACCAGGAATTCCTGGTCCCCCTGGTCCTCCAGGAAGAAATGGTGACCCAGGTCTTCCAGGTAAAGCAGCAACTAGATATCTAGAGAATTCCAAGAGCTTTTTATTCTGATTGATTCTTGATAACTATGTTGATTTTCTTCTTTTTACAGGAGAACCTGGTCAGCCAGGTCAGCGTGGCTTATCAGGCATCCCAGGTGCAAAGGGAGAGCCAGGTATTCCTGGCATTGGGCTTCCAGGTCCACCAGGCCCAAAAGGTATGTTTACAGCCATGTTGCTATGTTGTAATGGCTGGAGGAGGGGACATAGAGGGTTGTGTCTCTTTGCTTTTTCCTAGTGAGATGATTTCTGTCTCTAGTATCCTTTAAAAATATTGGTCTGGAATTTATGTGTTTTGGTAATAGTTTTAAAACTACCAGGAAAAAAACCTGCCAAACTCGTATTCTTCTGTTCCCTGTACTGCTCCTTCACAGTAGCTTACATTTTTCAGTAAAACAAAAACACAAGAGTGAATGGGTAAAACGTTGGGAAATCGTGACTGTTTGAGCTTGAATCAATAAATGATCTCCAAATGCTGCCTCAAGGTGTTAATGTTTCTGATGTGAATGGTTTGTAATTTTTGTTAGAACACATGGCATGGGGCAAGTGCGCTTCTCTGAGAGGAGTCCCAGAGATCTTCTGTGAGAAAGACTGTATAGTCAAAAGTTACCTCAGCCAAACGAGTACTTGATGCTTCAGCTAGCACAGAACCACCTTTTAGAGATTATTTTCTATGGATCTTAAGGATTTCTGGAAGAGTTGTTCTAATGCTCTCTGCTGCACTAACCTCCATGTCATGTGTAGGTTTCCCGGGGACTCCAGGTCCCCCCGGAGCTCCAGGAACTCCAGGTCGCCCAGGTCTAGATGGACCTCCTGGACCACCTGGTTTCCCAGGACCAAAGGTCTGTATTTTCTTGTTTAATATAAAACTTCACTTTCTTAGAGGTTCTTAAATGTCAGTGTGAAGTTGGTGGGGAGGATTTCACCTCTTGTCAGCTTTTGATGACCTCAGCTCTCTACTTGAGATTCGAATGAGGACAGGAAAAACAAAATCAAACTTTAAGACGGTGGACATTTTTTCTTCGCTATTTTACCATTTACAGGAAAGGCTAAGCGTAGAAAAAAAGTTTTTAAAAAAATGTTAATTTGTTACAGGGGGATCGTGGATTTGGAGTTCCAGGACCACCTGGACTCCCAGGACCACCAGGCCCAAAAGGAATTCAGGGACCTAAAGGTGATTCTGGCTTCCCAGGAAACCCTGGTCTCCCAGGACAGGCAGGTTTTGATGGAACTCCAGGGCCCAAAGGTATGGAGAACTTTCCTTTTTCTGCTCCTTGTTGAACTTCAGAAAATATAGATGTGTTGGGAGTCATATGACAGTTAAATACAAACTGCTGACTTTAAGGCAATTACTTCAGGGTCCATTTTTCCAAATCAGACACACCAGTGGTAAATGGAAACTTGTTCTCAAAAGACAAGGAAAAAGGGAGTAAATACCAAGCTGTGGGTCAGTATCAGAAACTCTGTATTCTAAAGACAACTCTGGGGGTAAAACCTTTTCAGTAGAATAATTCTCATTTAGATGCACTGTGCTTCAACATGCAGAGGGCTAGCAATTCACAAAATTAATCATTGTCTGTATTGAACTGCAGAGCGTGGCTGGTTTGCTGGAAAGCATTTGTTGAGTTTGATGTGGATTATGATGCAACACCATGCCTCTATGTAGGCTAGAAGTGTGAACTGCATGTCCTCACACAGAGTGAGGACAAATCTCTGGCTTTCAGAAATAGCCTCTGAAGTGAATTTTTTCCTGTCAGATCCATATTTGTTTGCATGCAAAGATGCAAATGTGCCTGTACAATGTGCAGGCACTCTGCTTCTGAAAGCAAGTATCTCTGAACTGAGTTCACTATTAGACTAAAGAAGAGTGTTCTTTTAGGTGACCCTGGACCAAGTGGACCACCAGGACTCCCAGGCCCACCAGGCATCCCTGGCATAGGTGGTCAAGGCCTACCCGGATCTCCAGGACCTCCGGGTCCTGTTGGCCCCCCAGGTAAAACCTTTAGGTTATTTCTGGCATAGAACATGCAGGTATACAGGACACTGAAAGTCCCACTGAACAGAGGCAAGGAAGGATAGAGATTTCGTGTCTGTTAGATTGGCTGTCTTGCCAGTCAAGCGGGCAAAACCTGGTACATCATGTTTTTTACTGCAATCAGAAGTGGAATTACATTCAGCCCTGCCATTTGCACAAATTAGAGAGGTCTCTAGGGTGTAAAAGCTCACTTTGAGAGGACTTGGAGCCTCATCAGAAATCCTATAAAGTGTTGTGCACAAATAGTGACAAAATCTCTGTAAGAAGGTTTATCACAATACTCTTCAGGAGAAGACAGGTGGGAGCAGAGGGTTTGGGAATACAAAAGACAAGGAAGACTGACTCTAGCTGCCTGTATTGTGCTGTCATTATATGGCTTTCAAATAGCAAGATGGTTCTTAAATTCCAAAGCAGTTTTCTAACTTACCAGACTTACTAGGTGAGAGATATTTTTAAATATATTTTTTGTATTATTATCTAGAAAATTAACTTTTGGTTTGGAAAAAAAGCAGACAAACTCAATCTCTTATGCGATGATATCTGTCCTCCTTGTACGTAGATGGTGAGTGCGAAATCAAGGGAGTAATTCAGGTTCTTCATGGTGTGGCTAGGCACTCTTTTCCAAATGGAAGCTGAAGCACACTTTAACTCAGTTACTGTGGAAAGTATTCCAAACTAGCTGGTTCGTAATTCTATAGAGGAGGAAATGTTCTCCAAGAAGTGACATGATACTGTTTTAACAAAAGTCTGTCAGTAGAGAAGGTCATACATATTCCTCTTGTCACAAGTACACCAGGAAGAGAGCTTTAGAATTCTTTTTACAGAAACCTCTGAGCTCTGGGGCTCCTGATTCCCTTACACCCTTTTTTTTTTTTTTCTGCAAACCCAACAAGTTTTATGAGTCCTGACAGGTTTAAAGTAGATTGACAAATAGAATCTAAGGATAGTGATACTTAAGAATATGTCTCTGAAGGGAGTTTGATTGTCTTTTGTCTGAAATGACTGGTGACTGATGAAAATGTGAACTTATTCCATCTCTATGCACGAAGGGTATATGTGCCTGCATGCACATCATTCTATTCACAAGGCTTGTTTAGGGAAATTCTTTTTCCCCCTCGTTTTGTGAATGGGCTTGCTGAGCACCAGCTCCTGGTGTTGCAAATCTGTAGCAGTCACAAACAGTTAGAACATTCTATGTGGACTTGAGCCTGCTTGCCACTGAAACATTTCAAAACCCAACTGATTCTTGCCGTGCCTGTATGACTGTTCATGTTGCATGTTTGCTTTTGGAATGTGTTTGTATGCCAGCCCTGGGATTGGCATGATTTCCAATGCCTGCTGAAAAGTTCCTGGCCAACTGTGAGATCATGATTGTTCATATTTGGATCTTTATGAACCACGAGCTGAGATTTAGTGAAATGCTTAACTTAAAGGTAGGCAAGCAATTGAGTAAGTAGGCCCATGGAGTTTGAGTTCTGCTCACATAGATGAAGTAAGGGACATGTTTATTTTTTCACAAGTTTTCCAGTGGGGAAAGGAATGTGTGGTTATTGCACCATCAGGCTTTGAATGTGTCCAGTGTTAAGAGCTAGGGACAGAAGGAACCTAGACAATATGCACAGAAATTCCTGGAGTAGGCGAGTCCTCTGCTTGGCTTACTTGTTCTCACTACACTGACCTGAACCTATGGTTGCGCTTAAGGTCAAACTGAAACAGAATACAATGCAGGTTGTATTTGGGGTGGAGGGGTGGGATGTATTAGTAGGGTTTTGAATGTTTCATCCAATATATGTTCTTTTGTTTTCCTGTAACATCTCTTTGAGTGTTAGCCAGAATTGGATTTCACACGATCACTGATTTATTCTGAAAAATACCAATTTTGACAAATACACTAGAGTTGGTGAATTTGAAATGTTTCTATTATTGCCTGTACTGACTAATTGTTGTGGCTACTAACAGCATGGTGGCTCTGAAATCTAGTGCATGGTTGAAGGTCCCACTTGAGAAGTCCTTGTTATTTCCCTTGGCACTGCTATTTCTCCATTTTGTGCAGAATTCCTCGTATTCCCAGCTCCCATCCCTTGTTTGCTTTACTAAGCTGTTTTGATTCTGTTCCTTTATGAAACATTAGGATAAAGTTTCTGTCACTTTGTTTTTCAGGAAATTTGTAAAATTCTTGAAGTAATTTCCCTGTTCAGAATTTCCTTTCTCTGCACCACCATTTCTTCAAATAGTTTGCAGTAACTCCGTGTTCTTCTTTTCAATATGTACCAAATTACATTAGAATTTATTGTGTCATCTATATTTTTCTAATTATGATACGCTTACATTTTTTAGAACTGTAAATTGAATTAGAATTAATTTATATTTGAAAAAGTATCTTTACTATTCCAGACATGGAGTTTGTCCTATTACTGGGTTATATATTATTTTCTCTCTTTTTTTTTTCCACTTACTGATAGAGACCCCTTAAACACAAAGCGTGTGCAGACCCTATTCATCCTCTAGTATTGTTTTTAATCTGCACAGTAATCCATTCCAGGCACATGACACTCTAGTTTAATGCTGTGACAATCTGCTGCCAAAGACGAGCATGCTTATGATTAAATAAATAGAAGTCTACAGCTTATGCTGTCAAGAAAACTTGATAGGCTATTTTAGTGTGCAAAGAACGTCACTTTAGTGTGCATGACATCACTCCTAAACTTGATCCATGGTCATGAGCGGGCATCACCATGAGTCATACTGCCTTGTAGTTATTTATGAGGTTTTGGCATGGTGTTGTCATATCTCACAAGACTATACTAGGGCATGTAACATGCAATGCAGTATCTCTGTAGGAGAAACAATGTAAATTTGCAGAATAGAACTAAAAGAATGTGCAAAAAATTATTTAGATTTTGTGTCTATGCGTGTGTGTTAATGTGTTAAAAAGAAGCAGCACCTTTTGGAATCTCTGTTTGAAGAGATTCACCAGAATGTCATGCAGATCAACAAGAAGCTGTTAGGGTGGAGTGTTGAGAAAGTGTCCAAGCCAGTATCTAATAATGACAGTTTTGTGTAAGAAGCAGTTCAGAAAAAAATTGTTCTCCAATTGCAAGGAGAATACTACACAAGAAGAGAGTGGAAAGTAATTTTATTTTTAAAATGTGCTATCAATATTTGAAAATATCTCACAGAGTTTCTTACTTCTACATACAGTGGTGGCTGCACTTTGAAAAGGCCTCCAAGTTTCCTTGCAGTCTGGTTTCTCTTAACTGCATTAGCGCTGTGTTCCTTAGGTCTGTTTTTAGTAATTTTGGAATAGATTTCTTCCTTTGTTCTAACCTGTATGTGCTTTATTTTGTTTCCTAACTTAACAACTATTACAACTCCTTATTGTTACCTGTCTCAACTTCCTGATGAGCTCTAACTCACTGGCTTTTTGAACCTCGGGTTCCCAAGGTACTGTAGTTTCTTTACCAAAGCCTTTTCTTAACTTCAGATTTAAGAATAATCCTTTTTTGTCAGCTACATTCCAGAGCAAGCATCTTCACTGATACAGTGCGCTGGAGGGCAACAAGCTGTCTGCTTTCTTCAGTGCCTCAAGCTCAGCATCATTAGGGTTAAACAATCTTAGGCATGTTTTGACAATTCATATTTTTAATTCAGGGAAATGTAATGTAATGAAGAATTTAGCTATCCTTTCAAAAGTATTCAGTTAATATTATCTTAGAACATAGTAAAATGGAAATATACTTGCACAAATCTCAATACTTAATGATAAAATACAAACCAGTTTAATCATTCTTAGCTTTCTGTTTATTAATTAGATTTGAAGGGTTGTTTTTCTTCTGAGATTTTTTTGAATTACATTTGCTACAACTTGGTAAAATTTTAGTAATGCATGTCTTCAGGAGAATATGGCCTCTTAACGCCTGAAAGTCATTAAAAAAATAAATGGCTTTAGAAGTATTGAAGGGTTTTCTGGACTGCAGATAAAATAAAGCTATTTCTACAGTACTATATCCGGAATCACGGTTAACCCAACATAGGCTTATTTTTTGCTTAAAGATTGTAACTTCAACAACATTGTCTAGGGTTGCAGGGCATTCCAGGGGAGAAAGGGGATCCAGGTCCTCCAGGCTTCGACATTCCCGGTCCTCCAGGTGACCGAGGAACCCCAGGATATCCAGGACCCCCTGGTCTCCCCGGGCCTCAGGGTTCACCTGGAGCACCTGGCCGGGATGGAATACCTGGATTTCCAGGTAAGTTCACATTTTTTACTTGTGGACAAAGACCAAACTGTAGTTGCAGGTGAACGCTCTTCATGTTTGGGCATGCCAGCAGAATGAGTTTGACTGTTTATCCTAGCTATTTAAGTTGGATACGTGTAACCATTACATCTCATACTTAAAAACCCACACCCCCTCCTCCCCAAACCCTAAAACTGGTGGCATTAAAATACTTGTCAATTCTTCACTCTTCCCTGTAACTTGTTTCAAATATTTTCCATGTTATTCTGATTCATAACTTTAAAATGTGACTTTGATCATTGTCATCATTATGACACTTTTCTAATTACTTTTGGGATTATTTTTCTATAGTCACTGCTACAATTTAGAAATAGAATTTGTTTAAAAGAAATAATTACAAATGTTATCAATTGGATCCAACACATAGTTTTAAAACTTGAGTTATTTATTCTTTGTTTAGACTATTCAGTTAAGATAGTCTATTTTGCCCTATGGAATATAAAACTCAAAAGTGAATTCTGAGAATCTGTGTCTTGGATAGAGGAAGCAATACAAATTATTCTAAAAGTAGTGTATACCTAATTGTCTTTTTGCCTTTCAATAAATTTAAATTTTATTTCAAACAAGTATTTATGTTTCAAGCCAGGGAGCCAAACTTACTGGAGGCATAAATATGCTTTCTACCATAAAGAACAGTGCAATGCAAATTTTCTTCCCAGTACTTGACTATGGAAAATTTGCCACCATTTTCAACTGTCATTTAATCTCTTGCAGATCTGTACAAAAAACTGAGTGCTTGTGTTTCCCTTAAAACAAGCTTTATATGCATATGATTGTTAATATACCATAGGGATGCAGGGAATTGAAAGTGAGGTACTGATAGGTTTTGAGTTTTTATTCAGAATGACAATTGTGATTCAATGCATTTAGGTGCCAAAGGTGAGATGGGTGTCATGGGAGCTCCTGGTCCCCCAGGGCCTCCTGGAACTCCTGGAAGAAGTGGCTTGCCTGGCTTGAAAGGTAATGTTTATCTGCCATGAAGAGAATGCAGAACAGTGTTTTCAGTGTCCTGTGTGGATAAAGGCTTTGTAATACTAACGTATAGATATTAATTATTGGAATCTACTTAGGTTATCTTCTTTTGGCAATGCTGATGTTGAGAATTGCTTTTCAGTTTTTGAGCCATAGTATTGTCACCCTGTTTTTTAAATTGATGTCATGAAATGTTAGCTATTTTTAAACACTACCTTTAGATTGAAGGCATTGAAGAAGGGTAATATTTCTGAAGCATGTTGTAAAGTCTATTTTAAGCATCAGAAAGAAGAAAATCAGTAGCTTTGGGTCATAGAGTCATCTAGAATCAGTTCTAATAGGTATTAGAGAAAAACTATTCTATCTACATTTTCCCAACTGCCTTATTAGAGATGAATTTTGAAAAACTATGGTAGAAAAAAACACCACTCGTCTTCCCACAACAAGGAGGCTGTGAGTCCAAATCTGCTGTAGCTGTTGCAACTTCTCTGTGCTCACGACACAGTGTGGTGGGTCTCTGGGGGCTCTCTCAACGTGGGTTCCACAGAAGCTGCTTCCTCTGAGCTGAGCTGGTCAGAGCTGACTGCGGCATGCAGACATCCCCAAGCAGTCGGCTCATGTGGCTTTGTTCTAGGGCTTAAGATGCTATGGAGAACCTTGCATAAACTGACTGATCATTTAGTGAATTCCAGCTTCATGAATAAATCATGGACTTCCTCTTTAAGAAAAAGCATTACAAATATATTAGTCTACCTTAAGGAATATATTTTTTCCCATTTGTTGTCTGTCTCTACTCCAGGTAATAATGGATTACCTGGTCCACCAGGACCTCCTGGACTGATAGGACAGAAAGGTGTCAAAGGTGAAGCAGGCCTGCCAGGTACACCTGGAAAAGTTGATCCAAACCAGCTAGGAGCAAAAGGAGAAAAAGGCGAGCCAGGTGTTCCAGGTACAGAATTTTGCATGTGGGTCTGGCATGGTGGTTTGTCCTGTGAAGTTAACAGTGACCTGTGACTGAGTCTGCTGTAGTTCATTCTTTGTTACCAAAACAACTAAACTTTGATTATAGCAGTGGCTGAAGGTTCTCTTATTTCAGGTGTTTTGTAATAGTTCTATGTATGTTTTTGTAATAGTTCTATGATCAAGTTACTCTGTATGGTTAGTGTGCAACGTCCTTGCTCGTTAACTGCTACTATTATTTAACACATGGTGACACTGTAATAGCACTAAAGTGCTTTCAGAAAAAAACTTCTAGGTGTTATTCCTAAATATGATGAGAAATAGTTGTCATGGCTGCTGTACTGGCTGCTTTGCCTTGTAGGATAGAATTGCATAGGTCGTCTGCTCTCATGCATCGCCTCTAGATTCTCCCTTTAGGTATCTCTGTAAGCTTACCCTTCACAAGCTCAATTTCATCTCTGTGTGTGTTTCTACTTGAGAAGCTGGCAACCTAGAAGATTTTCTCAGTTCACTCAAGTCTCTCACTTGCTGGCTTCACCTTCTTGCCTCACCAAGGGTTGCGATATCTCCTTTAAACTCAAATTTAGTCTTGAGTAAAAATATTCTACCTTAGAGAGAACCAGAATGCCTTTCTCTAATGTTGATCCAGCCATTATTATGCTGATTTACCTATTGTATTAATTTCTATGACGTCTAGGTAAGTTCCTAAGGCAGTTACTCTTTTTTCCTCTTTGGTCCCCCTCCTCTGTTAGAAGATTTAGAGGGATAGGTTTAACTATACCTGCAGAGCAGCACACAATTATTTGTACGGGATAATAACTGCATAGAATTTGTACATACACCTGAGTTACTTGTTACAATAAATCAATTACTTTTTATAATAGTCAAAGTGCTCCTGGGAATATAAATAATCTGGATGAATATAGAGAGGTTAGCATGGAGTTTTCTCATCCAAAAAGGTAGTCCTTTCTGAATCAAGTATATTAGCATTAGTCATAAAGTTGCTTTTTCTCTACTTCCTTACATTGTTCCTATTCTGTAGTAATTTTAAACTTTCCAGAAGCAATGTTTTGTGTTCTGTGATACTTCTCTGTGTTAAATTGTTGCTGAAGAAAAATCTGTATTTGGATTTTTTTCACCTATAGCTACATCTGATCTCTTAAGGTAGCAGAAAATATACAGTATCAGTGATAATAATAAAATGTTTCTTTTTCCTTGAGGTATTCCTGGTTTATCAGGACAGAAGGGTTATCAAGGTCTCCCAGGTGATCCAGGCCCACCGGGACTTAGTGGCCCGCCAGGGGTGCCAGGATTACCAGGTAAGTGACTAAGGCCTCCGATGGGCAGTTCTAACGTGTAAAAATTTCCTTCCTTTTTTTCACATTTGATTTGGGTTGATAATTCAGGTATATCAAAGCAAAACCTAAGGATTTACAATTAAAGCTGCAGCACAGTTTGGGGGCATTTAAAATCATTATTCAAACAGCATGGTTTCAACTCTTGCCTTCTAACAGAATGCAAGGCAGTTTGAAACTGATTCTGATGAAGAATTGCAAGGATCATTAAATTCTATATTGCACTGGTTCTTTCTACAGCTGTAACAATTTATCTGAAACACTGAATCTTTGTTCATTGTGTCTAGTATAGGTCTTGCTCTAAATATCTTGGGGAAGCAGGTTGGACTTAGGGAGTTGTTTTAACCATCCAGGACTCAAACTAGTTTGAGCGTTGCAGGTCACATTTAGTTCTGTAATAGAAACTACTAAATACTGATTGCAGATGAGAAAGAGATAATGTGTTCATTCTGCAGAGCAACTCGTGAAAGACTAGTACTAAACTGATTCAGATGGTTAGTAAATCGTAGACTGAGATTTGACGCATTTCATTAGACTAATCTTCAAAGCAAATAAGTTGCCCTTATCAAATCTTGGCTTGGAACAAACTGAAGATGTTTAATATTTCACTACAAATGGGTGTGAAAAAGCATGTAGGAGCAGTATGAGACTTAGAGTAACTCCGGATCCACAGCCTTTGTAATTAGATGACAAGCATATTCTTATGAGAATGCATGAATATCAGAAATTTCTAGTTATTGCCATTAATCAACTAAAACCACAACTTTTTTAGGCATCAAGGGAGACATGGGGATTCCTGGGCAGCCAGGACCAGCAGGACCACCAGGATTAAAAGGTGCCATGGGAGAGATGGGCCTTCCAGGTTAGTTTCTGTGCTTGTACTTTACTTCATTTTAATCAGTGTTTTCCTTTTATATAGTACAAAGCTGCTTCCATGCAGTATCTAATAATGTATTTAAATGGCAGTGCAGATGAGGAATACGTAAAACCCTACGTACAGATTCATTGAACTAGTACATAAGAAATTGGAAATACTTATTAAAACAGAAAATGGAGATGGGAAATACATTGTAAATACATATTATTATAAAGTGCTTTTGAAATAGAAACAGAATGATCTATATTGTGTAACTTTAATACTTTTCTGTTTTCTCAGATTCCACTCTGAGAAAGTTCAGAAAATAGATGATTCTGTAAACTCCCCTGTGAGTAGACAGACATCAGACACAAGCAAAAGGAGAAGGAGAAAGTGAATTCCGTTATTTAGAAAGATTGCTGAAACAAAAATTTCCAGTTCTGAGAATTCTAGTATTGAATAGTGCCTAGATCCTACAGCAACATATTTGGATATGGTTAATATTAGAATTAAAAAAAAACACCTTTGAAATGTCATGCAAAAAGCCATGAATAATTTTTTAGGTAATTGGTTTAGTTTGTTTTTAAAAATCAAAAGGCATTGGGTATTCAAAGCCAGCCAGTCCTTTTGTTAGTCCTTTCTAATTCAGTTGCTGCAATTTGAGTGATTTCTGTAAGTCATTGCAGAAGTTTTATTTACATTTGTAAAACTTGTATTTTATCTTTTGGACAGGACCTCCAGGGATTAAAGGCAGCCAAGGAATAGCAGGACATCCAGGGCAGCCTGGGCCTGCAGGATTTCCTGGACTGAAAGGAGAGAAAGGTGACCCTGGTCTTTCAAGCATTGGTATTCCTGGTCTCCCTGGACCAAAGGTGCATTTACAGAATTCTTCAGTAGGAAATTCCATGAGGAAGTGAGATTGTGTGTTGTTTTTTCTTTTTTTAACTATAACTTAATATATATTATGTATAACTGTAAATATGTATATAAATATATTAATAACAAGCGGAGTGGACTGTGGGTTGTTCTTTCCAGATGGGAGCAAAAATTTCTAATTTTAAAAGTGAAAATATTTGTATAGAATTTAATCTGGTTAAAGAAAGAGATTGTTTACCAGACCTTTCGAGTTGGGTTCAGTTAGTGGCCTGGTTTGCATTGTGAGACGTGCTGACATTTTGGTAGTTGATAGGGATTTGTACTGTTAATATAATTGTTCCCATGTCTAATTCTGCAGTTAATTCTAAAAAAATTAGGAATAAAAAAAATTAGGAATCAAGAATAAATTACTAAAATGCTGATATTTTATTATTACTGCTGCTTAAAATTCTTAAGTGTAAAGCACTTGCACTAACATTTACCTGTATCATCCTTTTTGTCATCCACAATAAGACCTACAGAATATCTAGCAGACTTTACTGGCTAATGCCTTACAATTGATGTTGAGCAGCAATTAATATGGCAAAACCATAGCATGATTAAAACTCCTTAGATTTACTTTTTTTCTTCTGCATTACCCCTGTGGCTTCTGAAAGAAGAGAATGCATTTTTTTCTTTAATGTAGGCCAGTTCTGAGGAAAAGCTATGATACTCTGTACAAAATTTTAGGGGAAGACTTAAAATCTTTACTATTGCTGTGGCAAATTAATTTTAACATCAACTGGGTATAAGAAGTGGGGACTTTTCTATGATAAGAAGACTGTAAGATGGGCAAGCCTTTCTTGGATGTTTCCAAACAAAAAATTCTTATTTCTGCTTGATGTTTTGTAGGGTGATCTTGGTTTGCCCGGATACCGAGGTAGTCCGGGCAGTAAAGGTATAGCTGGAAATCCTGGTTTGCCTGGATTTCCAGGCAGTCCAGGTGCAAAAGGAGAACCAGGCCTTCCTGGATTCCCAGGTAATTCTGAACTTTTCTTTTTTTCCTTCTTGCTTATATTGATATATACATCTAAACACAGTGGGTAATTGATGGAAGGCTGCAGCTTCTTTCTAGCAATCTGCTAGAAAGTTTCTAGCAATTTGCTGCTTCTAACCTTTGTGCTGTTGGAATTGTTGCTGCAGGAGTAAGTACACTTAAGAGCACCTTTTGAAATTATTCATCTTCTCTGAGGGGATGTAGCAGTTGTGTTAGCTAATCCTTTCCAATCCCCACAGCAGTCAGACTCTCACCTCTCCTGAATCACGAAATACCTGTGTTTGGCTCTGTATTTTTCCTTCATGAATCAGTTAAAAACTAGTAGTAGGAAAACGGCCTTTTTAATAGCATTTATTGTCTTAAAATACATTCTAAAGAGAAATCTCTTTCTGAAACATTACAAAATTAAGTTTTGCCCTCTAAAATATTTTTAGAGTTTGTTTATGAGTATGTGTCAGTTCTTCCATTCTCAATTTAATGAAACAAGGTATTTATCTATGTTGCATTTGCAGCAATAAGGACTGTTCTACAGGCATGCTTGAGCTGCTTTAAATGTAGGAAGATAGAGAATTTTTAACAGTGTAGTCACGGCAGCAAGAAGATTAGAAGCGAACAAAATCTGGCCACGAACCTGACAGTTTTTAACCTCTGCTTCATGTTATGCCTGAAAGACTGTGAACAGTTAGAATGGTGTGTTGAGACACTACTTTGATCAGGTGCAGACTTTCCTTCCTACTTCCCACTCAGTTCATGGTGTGGAGGTGAGAATCCAGTGTAAATTCTAAGACCATTTTTATTAAGATCCTTTTTCAAGAAAGGAAAAGAGAATTGGGGAAGGACTATCCAACCGTAGTTCATAATACTTTCAATTTGTTGTCAAGCAGAAAAACCTGTCTCAAAAATGGTGATTTCCTAGCAGACTGCCAGACTTGCTGTGTCCTTGGCTATGAGCACTCAATTAGGAAGAGAGAGTCTTGAGAGCAGCAGTAAGGAGAGTTGTGCTAGCGTGTTTTGTTTCTATATGTTCTTTGGTTTATAATTCATCTCCTTGATCAGCTGTAAATCTGCAAAATGTGCATAAATACAGCTGATACAATTAGTTCATACTTGGGGAATCTCAAATCGTAGCTCAAGATCTGCTGAAAAGCCAGTTTTGTGCTTAATTTGATTTAAATGCCCGTACTTTACAGGAACACCAGGTATTCCAGGACCAAAAGGTATGGAGGGGCCTCCAGGTAGTCCTGGCCTGCCTGGACCACCTGGACCAGTAGGTAAGCATCAACAGTACAGCAAAGGTCGGCTACTTCTGTAGAAAACAGAACACATGAAACCACTTCTTTTCTTCTTATATTTTTAACATCATGAAAATGCATCTACGTATATGGATGCTCAAACACCATTGCACACAATTCACTAAAACTAAACAGAAAATAAAGTTTTAACTTTTTCTGGACAACTTGTGTCTGCTGTCATAGTCGTATCATTAGCTATTGAAACAAGAAGTTAAGTGTTTCAGTATTTACCAGCTTTATTTATGTTAAGTATTCCAGCCTTCTAACCTGTTTTCATAGGAGCAAAATTCTAATTTGTCCTGAAGGGAAGCACTGTATTATTTTTAGCAAACACTGACTGCTTGAAAGGTCACAGACCTAAAAGCTGTTTCTAAATTGTCAGGTGGGAAGAGAGAGGGAGAGAAAGAAAGGTTTTAATTTTAATATTATACCCTTGTGAATTTGTTATTACATTGTCACATCATCAAATTCAGATGGTGCAGGGGGAAGGTTACCTTTTTTTTATTACAGGTTAGCCTAATGTGCTAATGTATTCTTACCCCCCTTCCAGGTGATACTGGTCTTCCTGGCCCTCCTGGTCCTTCAGGGGAGAAGGGACAGCCTGGTCGAGATGGTATCCCTGGACCAGCTGGTCAGAAGGGCGAACCAGGTTAGGTATCCTTCTTGTTTGTTTTCTCCTCTTCACTCTGCATTGGGATGTCCTGCTTTCCCTGCTGTATTTTTTCAATAACTGCCGATATACCTTCAAAGCTGCTTCTGTGGTTCCCAGCTGCTGAATGGTTCACAAAGGGTGCTGTCAAGCTGCCAATGAAGCATAGGAAAAGAAAGCAATCGATTTTTGTTACCTGACTTCAACACCAGCCTCTGTTCCTGCATTCCACGGTAGCTGTATTGCTTCAGCTCAGTTACAGCATGGATAAACAATGTTATATCTGTCTTAAAAGTAGAATCTCAACCAAAAATTCAAATGTATTAACATTTAAATCTGAAAGAGCATCTTGTGAATGGATGTAAATATTTATGGAAGTTAGAGATGCATTTTGTTGCAAAATCTCTAGTTTTGTGTAGACTGGTAAGTGAATGAGAATCCTGGTACTCTCAAGGAATCAACTATCTAGACATATTGCACTTTTAATCATTCTCAGCCTCATATTTATATTTCTGTTCCTGGAGACTTGAAAGCTAAATGATCATATTCACTGAATTTGTTTCTTTTCAGGTCTACCAGGTTTTGGGCACCCAGGACCTCCAGGACTTCCAGGATTGTCAGGTAAAGTTTCTCTGTTGTTTTTGCTAAATATGTATGAATATAATATGCTAAATATGTTGAATGTAAAATATATCTATACAATTAAAAAAGAAGGGCTTGTTGTATGTTCTGCAAAAACTGAATGCCATAGCAACAACTTGTGGTGGTTTGGTCCTGATTGGAGGCCAGGAGCCCACCAAAGCCACTCTATCATTCTCCCATCTTAGATAGACAGGGGAGAGGGAAAATATAGCAAGAGGCCTGTGGGTTAGAATAAGAGCAGTTTAACACAGCAGGGCCACGAATCGCTTTGGCACATACCCCGCTGATGCTTGTTCTCTCTCCCCTCTCGCATGGGGCTCTGCACCGACCGACACATCCTGGACATCGTCGCTGCCATCTATTCCCTGAACTGGCAGGCATTCACCTTCCTACCATCTCAGCTACCGCAGGGCTTCAGGGAAGGGTCCTGCTCTGGCAGCTTTCTCCCTCTCCTCCTCCTCTGGGACTCTTCCCCCCCTCTTTCTTCTCAGGGTGATGTTCCTTGTTCTCCTCTCACCTCCCCATCCTCCAGGAGAAAAACTTCCCAACATTAAAGCCAAGACAGCTCAAAACAAGACGAAACCAAAAGAGAGAGATAGAACAATGGGGTCACCTCTTAAATACCTTGCTTGCAGAGGTGCTGATTGGCCTGGCCCTGGCCAGACGCAGGTTCAACTCGTACCTGGAGATGGGGGAGGCTCTCAAATCTTCACATAAGTCCACCCCTGCTTTTACAAAAAAACTCACCAGACTCAAACCCATGACACTAGCCAAATGATCAACTTCTTGATCAAATTCCTCCTCTTCCTTCTCCCTTACTAGTCAATGATGTGGACCCATTGACTTTATTGTCCACTTTTTTGTCTTCACTACTGGGGCAATCACTGTAGTTGTTGTTTAAGTCCCTGTCTCAACCATGGTGTCCTCAGCTGAAGTTTGGATGCCTGCCTCAACCACTGCCCTTTGAAAGTACTGAACTGTGGCTCGATAGGCACAGGCCAATCACCAGTATGATTCTAGGAGTTGCTGGTTTTTACTGGGGTAGGTGAAGCATTCTTCTATCAAATGTCATGTCAGCTCATTAGGGTTGCTTGCCTGTTCAGGGGTAAAGTCCCAGGCTATGGGAGGTGATAACCATCCTAGGAATCTGCCCACGTCTTTCCACACACTCTGCCGCCCAGGCACCGGCCACTTCAAGGCACACTTCAGTACAGCCTCACCCAAACACTGTCTCATACCAGGATGAAACCAGATTTCACAAAACCCATAGTGTACTAATAGCATTAACTCGTAGTACCAAAGAGCTCACATAAGGGTGAACAAGGACCTTGAGAGTTTCCATAATAAAGCCATTTACATCAGTCCCAGGAAGGGAGAGGGAGATGAATTCCTTCACTCTCCCTACAAGATAGCTCCCACAGCACAGCAGGGCTATTAACACCAAAACAAAGCACATAGCCATTGTTTGTATCTGCATATTCCCAAGCTGAGCAAAACAAGCAAAACAAGCTTCGTGGCCTGCACAGGAACTTGCCACTTAACAACTATTCTATCTATACAGGCTTAGCACAGAACTGCTGTTGTCATGCCCCATGTTGGGTGTTGGGTGCCAAAAAGAACTGTGGTGGTTTGGCCCTGATTGGAGGCTAAGAGCTCACCAAAGCTACTCTATCACTCCTGCATCTTAGATGGACAGGGGAGAGGGAAAATATAGCAAGAGGCCTGTGGTTTAGGATAAGAGCAGTTTAATACAGCAGAAAAGCAAAGACCACGTGCGAAAGCAAAGCCAAACAAAGATTATTCTCTACTTTTCATTGGTGTGCGGTGTCTGGCCACTTTCCCAGGAAGCAGGGCTCCAGTATGTGTAGCAGTTGCTCTGGAGGACAAACACAAATAGTGAATGCCCCCACACTTCCCTCTTCCCTCTTGCTTTTATATCTGAGTTGACATCACATGGTATGGAATACCCCTTTGGCAAGTTTGGGTCAGTTGGCCCAGCTGTGTCCCCTCCCAAGATGTTGTCCACCCCCAGCCTGCTGTTAGGGGACTGTTGGAAAACCACAGCCTTGGTGCTGTGTGAGCACCCTTCTAGCTACCACTATCAACACCCTTCTGGCTACCGCTACAAAAACACAGCACTGTGAGAGCTCCTGTGGGGAAAATTAACTCCATCTCAGCCTAACCCAGTGCACAACTAAACATATTTTTTTCTCACCAGACCATTTTCAATTAACCACAGTAATAAAAACATTCATTAGGGACTAATGAATTTTGCAAATTAGCAATTATGCAGGCTAAATAAATCCACACAGGACAATAGTCTATTGCATTGTGTGGAATTTTGCTGATTTGTCTCGGTAAATAAAGCATTCATACAACAGATGACAAATGAAGCCACATCACAACTTTAAAAGCAAGGTACCAGCAACTTCACATAGTCTTAGTTGTATTACTTTTCAATAGTATTAAAGCTCCTAAATTCCTTGAGCTTATATGCAAATTTGGGGAGTATGTCTTAACTTTCAGCAGCATGTCAGAAAAATTATGAAGTCTTAATACTGACAGATTTCTTCACAGAAAGTATTGCTTGTAGGCTTACTCAAAGGATGTTTATGAATGACAGCATCACTGAGTACTAAAGTGAGACTTAGTAAAACCTTTTAGCATGTCAGAAAGTATAGCACTTTCTCCCGCAAGGATTTTTACTTCTAACTCTTGTCTGAACGTTAGATCAATTTTATGTTGTCTCACTGTGCAAATGAGGTGTTGTGGCCAGACTTGCACCTTCTGCAAGAGAGTGAAATGATTCTGCAAATTTATATTGGGACTTTTTTGTATATCATTTTGTAACATTATTTATAAATATGGCTGTTTGGTTTTACAGGACAAAAAGGAGAACGGGGGTTACCTGGCCCACCGGGGACCCCTGGACTTCCAGGTCTGAAGGGAGAACCAGGTTTCCAGGGATTCCCTGGTCTACAGGGTCCACCAGGTCCACCAGGATTACCAGGGCCACCTCTAGAAGGTCCTAAAGGTAGCCCTGGCACACCAGGTGTTCCAGGAAGGCCAGGTAAGAGCATGATCCATACCTGTCAACCTCTGCCAGTAGTTTCATATTTTGCTGGTAGGTTATCAGCCTTTAAACTTTCTTGGTTTGTTTGGATGGATAAGTTCAAGCCTCATGGCTAGGTCTTCACATTTTTGGGCAACCAGAGGATTTTGTTGCCAAAAGTAACAGCACCAAAAATAAAACATGTTCTATTAATTTCTGATACCTGGCAGCAAAAATCCAATGCATTAATAAACAGGAGATTCTCTGCATGCTGTCACAATAATCATGTAGTTAGCACAATACCGACTTTTGAACAATACCTTTGTAGTATTGTCACGTGATCAGCAAATGTCATTGCACACAAAAAACGAAAGTAACAAATCCTATCATATTAAGAGTCATGCAAATCAAATTCTCACTAGCATCACAGCATGATCAAATCGGATAGCTGCCTGCCTCTTCATCTTTGTGTCATGTACCATAAATCATTGCTCCATTGTGTCATGTGCCTCCCACAAACTCAGTTTCACCATTATGCCATGTCCATCTTTCCGTTCCATGTTTGCATTTTGTTCCTGCACCAACAAATTCTGGGAATGAAAAAAAACACTATACTGAGTTAACATTGCTGAGCAACTCCCTGGCATGTATTAGAATTTGATTTACATTTTGTGCCATAGAATGTTTATTTGCATTTAGATACTACACTTGAAGAATCTAACTTAAAGAACCTGTGACAGCTCTGGCTCAAGCTTATTGCTGTATCTGAGTTCAGAAGCACTTTGCCACCAGAAAGACTTATCTTAATGTGCTTGATACTCTCCTTAAAGGAGACTACTTTCAAACCAGGGTATTTGTTGATAACAGTTATTTTCTTTGCATATTAATGGAGAAGTAATATTTTTATTTCTTGCTTCAAACTCTGATCTCAGATTTTTCTGTTACTCAAAGATTTGTTTTGGGACAGTTAGTTTTGAGTTACCATATTTGTAAAATAGCTGCTATACATATATTGTTCATTTTTGAGTATCAAGGGAAAGTTTAGTTTTGCAGTACACACTTGAAAAGATTTCAAGATTCGCTTTTTCCTCCTGCTTGCTTCTGCTACAGAAGGAGGCAATCCCACTGAAAAAAAGTTTTTAGAATGGAATTTTCTCAAAATATTTTAACTGGAAATGGAATTGAGTAATATTTAGTTATTCTCAATGACATTATGAACTTTTCTTTTGTGCAGAGTAGGCTATGAACTAATCTATCCTAACTCTGCATTTAAAAAATGAGTCATTATAAGGAATACTTGATTTTAGTTTCGAACACTTTATAACTGGAGTGCTGTTTGCCAATATAGTGAGGCTTTCTTTTAGTCTAGTAAAAATACTTGAATTGCATTGTATCCTAAACTATTTTTTATTTCACTGGTGAGGAACAACCCAGTGGCTTAATAATTTACAGCCAGTCACAATTTCTTCCTGGCTTCCTATTTGGTTAGTGGAAGGAGGAGCACATACCTTTCCACTTGTTCCTCAGGAACTTACTCCCTGCTGTGCCCCAGGAGCTCTAACCAGTCAGTGGAGCATCCATGCAGCAAGTTGGTTGTCTGAATTTGCTTTCCATTTTCCCTGTGGCCTTGTCCTCATCTGCTTGCTGGCAGGTGGGAGTATGGGACAAGTAATCCCAGATCTGCTCACTGTGGTTAGAGATGCAGCTGGGGCAAGTGAAGTAGTGAAGAAATAAGAGATGGTGGCATGTTGAACTTGGGCTCTAAGTGTGCCATAGTAAAGGCCTAAGACATCCTAGATGCCAAGAACTTCCAAAGATAGTTTTTCTGTATGTAGAGTGGTGCAGCAATTAAAATTTTGGCACAGGAAGCTGATTCGGCCATAAAAGTATAGGCTTTCATTTTTCATAGAATCATACAATGTGCTGGGCTGGAAGGGACCTTTAAAGGTCATCCAGTCCAACCTCCCTGCAGTGAGCAGGCATTCCAGTTAGCTCAGTGGGTTGAGCGCGGTGCTGACAGCAATGACTACAGCAAGGTTGTGGGTTCGATTCCTGCTCGGTCCCCATCTGTTACCTGGTCTAGTCGAGAGGTTGGATTAAATGATCTCTAAGGTCCCTTCCAGCCTAGGCCATTCTATGATTCTATGATCTTTAACTAGATCAGGTTGCTCAGAGCCCCCTCAAGCGTGACCTTGAATGCCTCCAGGGATGGAGTTTCTACCACTTCTCTGGGCAACTTGTTCCAGAGTTTCACCACTCTCATTGCAAAAAACTTTTTTCTAACATCTAATCTAAATCTACCCTGCTCTAGTTTAAAACAATTGCCCCTCAACCTGTCACTACACACCCTTGTGAACGGTCCCTCCTCATCTCTCCTGTAAGCCCCCTTCAGTTACTGAAAGGTCACTGTAAGGTCTCCCTGGAGCCTTTCCTTCTCCAGACTGAACACCCCCAACTCTCTCAGCCTGTCCTTTATAGGAGAGGTGCTCCCCAGCCCCATGATCGTTTTTAAAAGATTCCTATATAGAGGATTCCAAATCCTAATTAAAAAAAAACCAAAAAAGTAAACCAGCTAAGCAGCTGCTGATACATAATAAAACTGCCAATGGAGATTCTGTGTTCTGCGGTTTCATTGGTGTTTTTACAGAGCTTCTCATCCTGTTCATGCTTCCCTATATAAATCAGGTGCTAACTGACTGCAGTTGGCTGTGGAGCTAGAGGAATGGTGGGACTCTGTGCAATTTTATGAGCATGAGCTGGGGGAAAATCAACCAGTGAAGTTCTGCTCAGCTATGTTCTCTCTCTCTCTCTCTCTCATTTCCATTTTTGTTGCATGCAATTTATAAAGTGAAGCATTTGTTGTGCTCAGTTGTGCGTGAACTAATGTGGATAAACCAAACTATTATTGCAGTTTAGGTACAATCAGCAGTCCAGGCTTTTGTTTCAAGTGATAACACAGTCTATTGTTGGAATGCTGATTCTGTAACATTTCAACATAAGGCAGTTAGTCATAAAAGCAGCTGTGTGGCTGTCAAGTTACCCTCCTTCTAGGGACATAAATAAAACCAGAAGCTGTATATATATAGTTTGTTGTTGACTTCAGGGTATATTCTAAGATTAGTAGAAGCGATGAAGTCAAACAAGATATAGCTCTCCGATTTCAGTTGAGTTGTCCTTAAAGCAAAGTTATTGGAATGGATTTATTAATTGATTATAAAATTAAGCCAATTTCCAGGGCAACACAACATTGCTGTTACTCCACATGTCTATTTTCATTGCTATGAATAATAATAGTTTGGTGTTTTGCATAGTGTATGTAAAGGAATATTGAGCTAAATCTAAAAGAAAGGTTTAGTTGAATATATTAACTTGTTGGTATTTCTAACAATTTTGATGTTTTTCCCCTTGTTCTAATGATGACCTTGGTGAACTCTGACCCCCTACTCCCAGGTCCCTCAGGTTAGCCCCTTAACTCCAAAATAATAACTCTGCATGAAAATGAATGTATATACTTTTGTACTGTCTAAATGTGAATATGCTGAGTCATTTTGCAGCCATACCTTTTAATTTGTGTTAGAAAAGGAAAGCTCAAGAGTTGACTTTCAGACTCTTCCTCCGTATTGCTGTAGGACTGACATTGGAAGGACATAGTGTTTCTCTCCCCACGGTGGAAGATCATATGGGTCCAAATATGCAAGGCTTTTATAAAATGTCTCCAACTCTGACACTTTTTTTAGGATATTTATTCTCAGTGCAGCTGAAAACAATATATGCTGGGTTTTATCTTTTTCTGAAAAGCATATTGTGCTGTGGTCTCATGTCTTTGCTGTGTAATTGTTTTGCAGCATGGGCAAGTGGCAGTATTCATTTTTGTAACACCTACTACTGTTGATTTTGGACACTCTCAAGTGACTTAGATAAATTAGATGCTTCTTTTATACCAACAGTGTCTGTTGGTTTATACCAACAGTGTCTGTAGAAAAATTGATACTGAGCAACAGCAATGCTTTATGTTTCCACCTTAGAGCATTGTAACGTTCCAGTGCAGAGAAATCCTGTGCTTCACCAGCACATTTAGAGGAAATGACATGTTTAAAGAAAATGAAACATACAGCCCTCCACTTACTAATACTAAGGCAATGGAGCAGGATTGACAAGACCATGGTCATAACATGTTTAATGAAAATGAAACATACAGCCCTCCCCTTACTAATACTAGGGCAATGGAACGGGATTGACAAGACCATGGTCATTTTCACAGGCTTATCATAATTGTAGCATATCAGCATGTAGCACAAGCCGCCTTTAAGGAAGATTTTTTTAACATCTGTGTTGAGTGAAAATGACTTGGTATATCTGTTTAATAATAATGACGTCTTTAGGTTTTGCTATGATGACTTTCTAGTTGCAAAGAACTGTCACGAAAACTCAATGAAGGAATACATTTTGTTTTTTACCATGCAGTCGTTAGCACTGTGTGGTAGCAAATGTGATAGCCTCCAGCATTTGAATCTTAGCTTTATGCAGTCATGTAATAAAAATAAATGGGGCTTTACCTTTTAATTAAATGGTGGTCACACAAGCAGTAACCATGCTTTCCGAGAGGGCTACCATCATGGGTATGCTGAGAGGAACTTAATTGCTTCATGTTTTGTTCCACCCTTGGACAGTGCTTAGCCAGAATTCAATAATCAACAAGTACAGGATAGATTTAGAAATCATAGCAAAACCTACCCAACAGTAAAATATAGTTTGTAAGTACTTAAAAGTATCAGTGACATGTCCCTGTCATTATTTTTAACAACTGTATTGCAGTTAGTATCTAAAATAATTTATCACATAGATAAGAAATAGTGCATTGTGGTAAACCTGCCGTGTATTTATTGTAGTTTTTAACTGCAAATTGCATGGTGATATGTTGATATATTTAAATCATTTCTCTGACATGAAAGATACATTGGCACAGGAGCTAAAATGTGTATTAATTCAGGAGCATGGTAGGAACAACTAGCTTACTTTTTGAAAGAGGATAATTAAATTATTTTTCTAAGGATGTAATCATATGCCATTCCTCATAACAACCTTAAACAGTTAAATTAGCACCTTTAGGGTATATTTTTACCAAGAAAAAAAATAATGCAAACAGTAAAGACAACAAATTATAAATTTGTAAGTTCTGCTGTATTTTTGCTCATAGCATTCACAGCCCTGTTGATCCATGTCAATCCTGCTTACCGTTTTGAAGAGGATATAAGCCTAATTTTCAGTTCTAGAACTGTATTCACAGGTAGTTGATGCTCATACCTGATTAACCAGGATAAATCTTTCTGTTAATCATGCTTTCCCCCTTCCCAAAGCAGAATTTTGCTCAAAAATTATTTGTCATTAACAATTTACCTGCATCCTTGCCAGGCTCCAGCCCCTGTGATGTTGAATATTGTCAGCAAAATGGTTATATTCCCAACCTCACTGTGAATAAGACTAACAGGCCTCAGCTGTAATGTTAAAGCAATAACACATTCTTTAGTAAAGCTTTAAGTTTACTGTTAATCGAAGTGTCAAATTAGTCTTCGTAGAGCCTAGTCACCAGAATACCTTGTATCTGAAAATATGTATCATTGTATATTCATGTATGGTTTTATGCATGCATGTGGATTATATTGTAAATACAAAATATGCTGGTGAAATGGGTTGTTGTGTAGTGTATATGCTGTCATCTGTACTATTTCTAACTAGTAATCTTGTTTTGTACTGTGTGATGTCTGACCCTTCTAACATCGATCATTGGGCTATGGTGAACTCTGATCCTTCAGGTCCTCCAGGTTAGACTCTTAACTCCGTCAATTTATTTTACTGTATTGCACTTGATATAAGAGAAACGGATGTTTTCCTGTAATTCCGTGATGATCTTTTTAAGGACTAGGTTAACCTGAAGATCGCATGTGTTTGATTAGCATGCCTTAGATGGTAACTAAGATGTTACTATTTTGCATGTGTACAATACTGGAACAGCATAAAAGAGCAAAATGAAAAAATCCTTGCATGATAGGATATTTTCTGTTGCTGAAACTACTACAGGATATGTCTAAAATGTGGTACAAAATTGCTGTTGACTTAAAACCTTTGAAAGGAATTCCATACTCAGATCTGCATGCAAAAACAGAGCTCATCAAATTTATCCACTGAATATAGAGTATGAGGATGTCAAAGGAGATGTTAAGTTGTTCGAGGCTGTGGAAGAATTAAAAATCCAGCACACTGATAGATCTTATTAAATTTGTTGTACTGTGGGGGAGAATGTCATAGCACTGCCCTACAAAGAGATCCTTCCATTAATCTAGTAATGAGATCTAACTTTTAAAATGTTATTAGCTGTTGGTGCACTTGCTTATGGTTTATTTTACCACAAATTAATATTAGTTACCTTTATTTAGATGGTGGTATAAAGTCAGGATGTCATCTTTCAGTTCTCCAGATAAGGAGCCTTGGTTCCTGATTTGGGTAGTGCAAATAATCCCTCTATTTGTTTTCCTTTGAGTTTATTTGAATTCAGCATTGAAATAGAGCTGGCAAGTCAAAATATCTTTTTTTTTTTTTTTTTTTTTATGCTGAAGGCACAAACTTGGGGAAAATGGTTGATATTTGCTGACATATGCATATTTGTTCTGCAATGTTAAGGTCCACCAGGCCCAGAAGGTCCACGAGGGCCACCAGGCAGTGGAGGACTTAAAGGTGAAAAAGGGAACCCGGGTCAGCCTGGCCCACCAGGCCTGACTGGTCAAAAGGGAGATCGAGGACCACCTGGACGCCAGGTAAAGCAAGAAATGGAGTTTTCTCCCTAGTTTATTTTTAAATGCAATAAAAATGGAATATATTTGGGTGGAATATTCAGTTTATCATAGTGAAATAAAAGCCAAAATGTGGTAGTTAACACCCAGTCTTGTAACAGGTAATAAGATCTTTTCCTTAAATACCTCCTTAATTATTTGGACAGGATATTCCATGGGAGCTGGAGCTGTTAATGCACACTTCATAGTACAGCATTCTCTAACAGCACACAGTACAATGAGCAGAATGCATGGCCATCCAAAGCACTAGTTCACAGACCCAAAGTGTGCTTATTTGTCCTCCAGTCACCTTTTCTCTCTGTTTTTTTCTAAAATTGCTGAGGAGGTGAGTGAATAACATGAAGCTGTTTTGTTCAGGGGGATCCTGGTCGTCCAGGTCTGAATGGAATGAAGGGTGACCCCGGGGTTCCAGGCGTTCCAGGATTCCCAGGTATTTAACCGGGTATTCCCAGGAATCTAACTAGTGTGTCAAGTGAAAATCTCCAGACACAGCAACAGCTACTCATGGAGACAAGAAGCCTGATTTTGGCTATTCCTGCAGCAGATTTTCTTAATACAGCATGTTCTTTCACTGTGTAACTGTGTGAATTTGATGTTTCAGGAATGAAGGGCCTCACTGGACCTGCAGGACCTGCTGGCCACACAGGCAGTCAAGGACTGCCAGGTCCACCAGGTAGGAGGAGTCCTTAGTACCATTATTGTCACTTTTGTCCTCCTACCAGTTGAATTTGTTACACAGATGTATTACAGCCAGCAATGAAAGTAGTTAAATGAGCAACAGCTTAAACACAATTTCAGACTATACTTTTTTAGCCGTACAAGTAAACTTACCCTATTTTATACTCTACATCCAGTCTATGTAGATTAACCCCTGTAAGAGCTGTCCTTTGGGGGAGTCACCAAGAGCATTCTTTTGCCTTAATTACACAATTACTCTTTGCATTGTTAGAGCTCTTGGCTTCAGACTTTGCAATAAATAGCAGAAACTGTTTCTAATGCTCTCTTCCACCTTGTTTTATCTAATGCTAAGCTGCTTTCTCTCAGGTCCACCAGGTTTACCAGGTACCATTGGACGAAGCATTGTTGTCAAAGGTGACCCTGGTCCTCCGGGTTCTCCAGGGCAGCCTGGGTCGAAAGGGCCACCGGGATTGCCAGGGCCACAGGGATTGCCAGGTATGATCCTAGGTGGCTGTAGAGAAAGTGGCTGAGAATGACTGCAGGTTGCAATGCCAGTCACTTTGTGTGGGCTGCAGAAGTTTACTGAAGATATCAAAATTCAGCAAGAGGTAGCAGATAAATGCAGGATTCTACCACATAGATCTGATTCAGTCGTCTGTTCTTCTCTAATGTATTATGAAAAAAAAGAGATGAGTCCCAGAATTTAAAGATTTTTAGAGTGAGATTTCAAGAGCTTTTATTTCAGTTGTGGGTTTTTCTATTTTAGGTCCAGTTGGTCTTCCTGGTGACCCAGGGCGAGATGGACTACCTGGTTTTGATGGTCCAGCAGGACATAAAGGAGAGAGAGGTCTTCCAGGCCAACCAGGTAGGGAGCTTAGCCTATGAGGACCTGGTGGAAAAAGAGATGCTCTCTCTTGTGAGTGCAGGCTGCTACTGTGAAGCGACATCTTTATCTCATGGGAATAATAATAAAATTGTAATTCTAGGATTTTCTTAATGCAAAAATATTACATACAGCTGGGCATACTTTGGTTTGGAATATTCTTGAACCAACACATCGCTTGTCATTGCTGAGAAATAGAGTGCTTTATCACAATTGAATGGCATCCCCTTTGCAGCACAGATGATACACAGGAGATAATGAAGATAGCAAGAAACATAAGAGAGAGTAGTAAAATAATTTTACTTTTCTATGGAGATCATGAATGGGGAAAACTAGACTTTATAAAGGAAAATTTCACCAAAGGCAGAGATCAGGCTACCATGCAGCTGTTGATTAGAATTCATAGAATGGCCTAGGCTGGAAGGGACCTTAGAGATCATCTAAGCCAACCTCCCTGTCATGGGCAGCGATGCCTCTGAACTAGATCAGGCTACTCAAGGCTCTGTCCAATTTGGCCTTGAACACCTCCAGGGAGGGGGCAGCCACAACGACTCTGGGCAATTTATTACAAAGTCTTGCTACCCTCATACTGAAGAATTCCTTCCTAAGATTCTCCTTCAACATAAACCCATTTCCCCTTGTCCTATCAGTGGACACTCTTGTAAAAAGTCCCTCCCCAGCCTTCCTGTAGGTTCCCTTCAGGTATTGGAAGGCAGCTATTAGGTCCCCCCAAATTCTTCTCTTTTCAAGACTGAACAATCCCAGCTCCCGCAGCCTGTCCTCGTAGCAGAGGTGCTCCAGCCCATGGATCATCTTTGTGGCCTCCTCTGAACACGCTCCAACAGATCCACATCCCTCTTATGGTGAGGGCACCAGAACTGGATGCAGTGTTTGAGGTGGGGTCTCAGAAGAGCAGAGTAAGGGGGGAGAATCATAGATTTATAGAACAATTCAGGTTGGAGAAGACCCTTG